TGACTTTGCAAAAGTTGACAGTGGCAAGTGCCGGACAGGACGTGGGTCAGCAGGAAACCACGGGCCATGCTAATGGCGTCAACCCCTTGGGAAACTGCTTGGCATCAGCTAATGAGTACAAGGACACCGAGGACCCCGGACCCAACGGCTCCACTTCCAGACTGACCCAACAGAGACCGCTGCCCATGTGCCCCAAAGAACATCCCAGGAATGCCCACAATAGCAAGGGGACCACGCAGATGTGCGCCCGCTGACAGTCCGCTGGTCTGAGGGACAGTGGGCATTCCCAGCGGGACTGTGAGCAGCACTGAGCGGCAGTGCATGTGGCTCCTCGATGCAGTGGGGACGATCCCTCAGGCACACTACTGACCCAAGTGAGCTGGCACAGCAGAGCGCCTGCTGCCTGGCTGCTGGTTAAACGTGAAAAACAGGCAGTGCCAAGGCCAAAGCACATTGCTCTGGGGTCTGTGCTTCGATGGGAAAACAGGGACAGTGAGTGAGACCCTGTCCCACTCCTGGAACACAAAGAGGCAGCCCAGAAGGACTGGCACCAGAACCGCAGATGGACTGTAACAAGTGCCAGGCGGGGCCCTCACAGCAGGCGGCCTGGGGACAGGTAGCACTGGGGAAGGTGGCGGGAACGAGGCTGCTGGGAGCTGAGGCTGACATGAGCTTCAACCCAGTGGCTCCGTCCACGGCCCAGGTTCCTCGGGCACTGAGAGGGCAGCAAGCAGCTGGCGGGATGGGAGCTGATGCGGCAGAGGTGCCACCCCAGTGAGGGGCAGAGGAAACCGGCACTTGGGCAGTCTTAGGAGAAGCGGGGTCCGGTGTGCGCAGGGAGGGTGGACACCCCAGAAGTAGCCACAGTGGGCAGGTCACCTGTGAGATACCATGTGTGGGAGATGCAGGTGCCCGGGCTGGCTGGGGCCTGGACATGGCTCCCCGGCCGTCAGGCACCAGCAGCACTTTGAGTGGGGTGGGACTTGCCTGGTCTGTTTCTGGGCGGGAGCCAGCATGAGAGGGTGAACAGTGAGTGGCTGCCGCAGGCACGGTGTGGTTAGCACAGCTCCAGCACCTCTGTGGGCCAGGAGGGTGTGTCACACGCTTCCTGACAAGGCAAAAAGTGCTGTGAGCCCGCCTGTGTCAGATGTGAGGGCACTTGGGCCAAGGCCTGGGGAAGAAGCCATGTCCACACCCCATATGGGGTGCTGGCTGCTCCTGGCCCCATTGACTGATGGCCAGAGGCAGCAGGTATGTGAGGTCACCCGGCAGGTATGGCTGTTGGTGACATTCTCTGGGCAGAGGTCAGGTTGGACATTTGTAAACAAATGAGCGTGTCAGGTTACAGGTCATAGGGTCTGAGAAATGGGGTCTGCGACCCCACACTTGCTCAGCAATCACTCGGAGCCCACATGGACGGGCACCTTTTATCACACCAAGAAGTCAGACGTGGGACACTGAGCCTGCCGGAGGAACGCACCAACCCCTTCCCTGAGCCCCACTCAGCAGGGAAAGGGCTGCTGGTGGCCCCCTGTGACGGAGAAGACGAGCCCGGCTTTCTGAGCGGATGGGGCTGCAGGAGGCAGCTGGACAGTGCGAAGACAGAAAGCTGTTGTTTGCTTCTACTCTTTTGAAAGATTTTTTTATATTTCTTCCCCAAAGAAAGCCATGCATTTGGACATTTAGATGTGAAATTACACTTCACAAGTCGTGCTTGCACGAAGGAGGAGCATGGAACCCAGAGTAGCCGAGCATCGGGAAGCAAGACTCAGGGACAGCTGATGCTTCTGTTTATTCTTTTTTCTGAGAACCATGAGCCGCTCTCCTGCGGGGCACTGCCCAGCCAAGGTGTGATTCCAGGGGGCTGCAGACCACAGCACCTGCCCTCCCTTCCCTGACTGGGACCCAGCAGGGCCAATCAAAGCCATTCGCAGGCACCAATCTGCAGCGCCGGGGTAGGGGTTCCTCACTAAGGAGATGCTGCTGAGCTGATGTGCCCTGGAGGCCCTGGCGGGGAGGTGCCCTGGCGGGGTTGGGGGGAATGCCCTGGGTGGAGATACTATGTGTGAGGGAAGCCCTGGGTGGGGGGAGCCCTGGGGGGGGAAAGAGGGGAAGCCCTGGGTGGGGGGAAGCCCTGGGTGGGGGGAAGCCTTGGGTGGGGGAAGCCCTGGGTTGGGGGGGGTATTCCCTGTGGAGAGGCATTCCCTGAGTGGGGGAGGCCCTGAAAAGAGGGACACCCTGGGTGGAGATGCCGTATGTGGGGGAATCCCTGTTGGGGTTGTCCTGGGTGGTGGAGCCTTGGGGAAGGAACGACCTGGGGGATCCTGTGGGAGGGGATGGCCTGGGAGGGGTCTGTCACCTTAGGGGGAAACCCTTGCTGGGGGATGCCTGAGGAGGGAAACCTGGGTGACAGATCATCTTGGGGGGGATACCATGGGTGAGAGATGAAGTAAGCGGGGGCTGCCCTGGGTGGTTGTTCTACTGAGTGGGGGGATCACCTGGGTGGGGGATCATCTGGGTGGGGGCTGCCCTGGGTGGGTGTTCTACTGAGTGGGGGATCACCTGGGTGGGGGATCATCTGGGTGGGGGTTGTCCTGGATGGGAGATCATCTGGGGGGGATATGGAGGGTTACGGCCCTGTGCCACCCCTGTCCCCCCTCACACACACACCGAGAGGAAGCCAGTCTCCCCAGGAGGATCTGCGCAGAGCAGCTTGGGGTTTGGCTCGTGGGTGCCGGGACCAGGTCTGAGCCCCAGATGTGGCTGGGCCTGACCCAGGCAGCTCCACCCCTTCCTTCCCAGGAAACACCTTTTGCTCCAGCAGAAGGAACTGGGTGTGTGTAGATTCTGCCGCCTGATCCCGGCTCCTGGCTGAGGGTTTGTGGGCTCGGATGGACTTGACACTCGGCCTCGACCCTCCTGGATGCAGCCTTCTGGCTCCCCCAGCCCAGGCAGAGGCGATGAGCGACTCTCTCTCACCCAGAGTGTTTCCCGAAGGCGATTTTGCCTGAGGGCACCAGGCTGGGCCAGGTACTGCAGGGCGCTGACCAGCACTGGCCTGGGGGCCCTGAAGCCCCCAGATAGCATCCCTCTCACACACGCCTTCTGTCTCACCACTGGCTATAAATAGACTTGGCTCTCTGCTGGAACGGCCTCTCCCGAGGAAGCTTTTAATTCTCTGCGTCCTCTGCAGGGAGTGGCTCCCACAGGCTGGGAGGGGACAGACTGCCTGACTCTCCAGAGATCTCTACGGCCCCATCTGTGATGGGTGACCCTAATATTCTTTAGGGAGTCCCCCTGGGCCCTGCGTGCGGCGCTGTGGCCTTTCTTTTCGCCCAGGGAGGCCCCTGCAGTCCCTCCCTCCAGGCCCTGCCCAGCCTCCCAGCCCGGCGCTGGAACCCTGTTTACTGACTCCCAGGCCTAGGGCAGCCACTGCCAGTGTGAGGCTCGGGAAATTCGGGCGAGGAGAGTCCAAAGGAAGCCGCCTTTGAGCATGTATATGAGCATTTATATGCTCATTTCCACAATAAGCATTTATAACCTCGTATAACCGTTAAAACATTTATTGCAACTTCAGGGACTTCAGGAAGACGGACCAACAGCAACTGCGAGACTGAAACGCAGCCCGCAGCCCCGCACAGCCTCCTCCGCGCACACGCGGCCACATCCTGAAGATGCACAGCCCGTTCCTCACGCAGCACTTACACGCCGGCGCCTTTCTGAACCAGGGACCGCTTTAGAAACCAGGAAAGCGGCAGACCCGACCCCTCTCCGGGACAACTCGCACACCCTCCGAAAGCGCGCGGTCTGCAGCCGCTCCCGGAGCCCGCCCCTCCCCCACGGGCCCTCCGAGGATCACGTGGCGGGACGAGGCGCTGGCACCGAGCTGCTGACAGTCGCGGGAGCCCAGTTTACGGCGCCGGCATCAGGCTGCAGCTGCCTCGCTCCCCTCCACTTCCTGCCCCTTCCCGGCCTTGGTCCAGCCCCTCTCCGCGTCCCCAGAAGTGGTCCCAGGCCCAGGGAGCAGGGTCACCTGCCGGGCGCAGGGAAGCACCCCTGAGAGGTCAAGAGGGGCGTCCAGGGCCGGGGTGGGCGGGGGCCAGTCCTCTATCGCGTCCCCCAGGGTCCCTGCACCCAGAAGGGCCAATAAACATGGCAGGTGGGTCAGCCGTGACACTGATGGGGACGCAAACCCTCATCAAAACAGCAGCCCCCCCAACCCCAACCCTTATCAAAACAGCATCCCGGCCAAGGCCCGGGAGGGACGCGCTTCTCACCTCCCTAGGCTCCATTTACGTAACCGTAACCGAAACCGCAGAATAAAGGGCTCCTCAGATACCCGGGCACTGCTCCCAGGGGTGCGGGAAGGTGTCCTGGAGGCGCCTCTCCATCGCCACAGGCCCGCGGGGGCAGCCAAGGCCCGGGGAAGTCAGCGTCTCTGTGGGGGGCCGGCTGACCACCCCACCTGCCAGGACACGATGGCTTCAGGACCCCTAGACCGGCGCCGCGGTCTCGCCAAGGGCTGGTTCTGGCCCCTTTATGTGTCTAGGAATCTCGCAAGATCCGCCGCAGGGCCGCGGCTGCATTCCGCCCCTCTACGCCCCAATTTCCCACGCCTCATACCCGCGGCCCCTAGGCCTGGGAGCGGGTAAACAGGGTTCCAGCCCCGAGCTGGGGAGAGCCTGGAGGAAGAGGCTGCAGGGGCGTCAGTGGCTCGAAGAAAGGCCACAGCGCCAGGCGCAAATCTGTCACTGGCGCGACCGACGGAGACCCCCGCCCGCGGCCCCCGCGCAGCCACCCCGCCAAGCGCGCAGCGCGGACCGCCGGCATCCCGGGGGCGCGGGGCGCACGGACGCACGGGGCGGCCCGAGAGGGGCTCGGGCGAGCGCGGGGGGCGCAGGGGTCGCGGCGCAGGTAGCCGCTGGCGCTGACGGGCGGGATCTGCGTCCCCAAACGTCCCCCGCGCCGCGCCCGCAGGACCGAGCCCCGCGCCCACTTACCTTCGCGACGCAGCAACGGCAGCGGCGGCGCCTCCGCGACTCGGCCGCGCGCGACCCGGTGCCCGGAGGAGCGCTCGCGCCGCCGACCCGCGCCAGCCTGGCCCCGCCCCGCCCCGGCCCGCCCCCGGCCCCCAGCGTCCCACGCCCTCCCCGCGCCCCGCCCCGCCCCGCGCGCTCATTGGCGGCCCCGCCCCGCCGCCCCACCCGGCCCGGGGAGCGCGCGGGGCGCACGGAGGCCTCTGCCTTACAAGGCCGGCTCCGCGCAGGCCCAGCTGGTCGCCCGGCGTCCACTGGGCGCAGGACGCGGCCGACTCGCCGGGCCGTGGGAACCGCTCGGCAAGGGACTGCGGCGCCCCTCACCTGGCTCTTGGAGCCCCCCGGGGACGACCGAACCCCGATCTCTGCGCCCCGCAGAACGCGCGTAGACAGTGCGGCAGGGGCGGGGCAGGTTGGCGGCGGGGACGCGGGGACGGAGCTGGGCGACCCCAGACTGCGTTCCATTCTCTAGGGAGCCGCAGACGGCGCAGGGAGGCGGCAGGATCGGGCTGCGGGGGTGCTCGGACCTCAAGGCGGGGCGCAGGCTGGGGACGGGGCTCCCCGGTGGGGGCACCGCGGCCGGGGTCGGTCTGGGCGGGGAGCGGGTCCGTGCCCCGCGCCGAGCGCAACTGCCCGAGCCCTTCCCGCAGGAGCGCAGGAGCAGGGCGCGCCCCTCTCCCCGGCCTCAGCCTTGGCTCTTCCTGCGGGTCGCCGGCTTGCGGCGCTGCAGTCCCGGCCACTCTTCTAGCCTCGTCGTTCTCCTGCACCTGCTTCCCCGCGCCCCCAGCTAGGCTCTGCCGAGGCGGCGCATTCGGCCCGGGCTGTTAGGGCCTCAGCAGGAGGTGGCTCCGCACGAGGTTCTGGGACCAGGCGGACTGGCCGCCTGTGTGGTGCTAGGTGCTGGGACTCGAGGGGCGCAGGGGCCCCTTCCCTGGAGGAGGCTGAGGCGCAGCCCCTGGGAGGAAGGGGCATCTTAGGTGACTTCCTGCTGGGATGTGTTCTGGTGACGCTGACCTCCCCCAGCCCCGCCTCTGTCCCTGCACTAGGTGTCCCGCAGACCCCCGGCCCCTGCAGAGGAAGCAGGGGAAGGTAGAAGGGTGCTGGGTGCTGGGCAGCAAGGGCTGAGGTGTCGGAGCCCTGCTTGGACCCCACCCGCCACACGGTGGTCCCACGCCCCGTGCCCCTTCTCCCCTCTGGTTTCTGTCTATTCCTCTTCTGAGAAATTCCACACTTGGAGCAGGGAAGTCCGGAGAACCCCAAGCCGAGCGGCGGCCACACTGGGGTCCCGCTTTTCTCCAGCTCGGGTGGGGCTCCGCTGCCTCCTCGTCGCACAGAGCCCAGAGTGACTCCCCTTCGCCTCCGGCAGTTCGTACTCATGGCGTGGAAGTCATGAAATGACCTCTCCTTGTGCTCTCACTGCGGTGTGGGGCACACGGTGACCGTCAGTGCATCTTTCAAAACCTGTACAAACTCTTGACTTAAATGCAGTGATTTTACAATAAAATCATAGTGGGAGGTCATGCCAGGCTTCGGAGTTAGACATGGTCCCGGAGCCTTTGTGAGGAGAGGAGAGGCAGGGGCAACACTGGGTCCAGGGCTTTGAGGGAGCTCTGGCAACTCCACCCTTCATGATGAGAAGACGACAGAACTGAGCCTGGGGCTGCCCCGGCGTCAGCACAGGACACACAGTGACCGGGGCTGCCCGGGCCTCAGCACAGGACCCACAGCGACCCGGGCTGCCTGGGCCTCTGCGCAGGACACTCAGTTTCTGGGGTTGCTGGGCCTCTGCGAAGGACACAGTCATCGGGGCTGCCCTGCCTTCGCGTGAGACACTCAGTGACCAGGCTGCCTGGGCCTCTGCGCAGGAGATACAGTGAGGGGCTGCCCGGTCTCTGAGTGACCGGGGCTTGGTGTGCATCTGGCCCTGGTTCTCCCGTGGGGAATCCATGTGTTCATGAGTCTGTTTCCATGTCTGTGGGTAAAATCTGCGTTTTGGGTCACGGGTGTGTATTTCATAGTGACAGTCGGTTCAGTCGGCCCTCACAGAATCACCAGAAAAGGGCACCGGATCTTGCTCAACCAGGACAGGTGGATCCTGATTCAGGACTCGGGCCCCTCATCTGGCCGTGGCTGCCTGCCCAGTAGCCCTTCCAGGGGTAACCCTGCCCCCAGCTCTTGCTCTGCCCCAGGCCTGGACAGCCTCCTTTACCCTGCGGTTACTGAAAACCCACTCACACCCAGTGACGTCGTCCACGCAGCATCTTGTTGGAAGCTATTTCCTGGGGTTCGTAGCAAATCACTCCAAAAGGGCTGAACACAGGTTTCCTCTCAGGGCCTAGGAGGCCGGAAGGCCAAGGCCTGCGCCTGCAGGTTCCACGTCTTCCAGCTCCTGTGGCTCCAGGCGGCCCCACCCCGCCTCTGTCCTCATGGGGCCTCCTCCCCCCGGTTTGTCTGTCTCCTCCTTTGCTTATCAGGACAACTGTCAATGGATTTAAGGGCCACCAGCATAATCCGGGATGCTCTCAAAATCTTTAATCGAATTACATCTACAAAGATCCTGTTTTAAGTAAGGCCTTACCCTGAGGTTCTGGGTCCATGTGAGTTTTTAGGGTGGTAACCCCCCCGCAGCATGGATGCTTGTCCCAGCTCCCCCTGTGGCACTGTGTCAGTGACCAGGAGCGTTCGCTGGGGTGCCTGTCTGCCTGCTGCTGTCTCCGTGGCCTTCTGCACAGGTTGTGTGTCCGCAGTGGGGAGCACCAGGCCTGGCAGCTGTCACATAGGAGGAGGCCAGCTCTCAGGGACAAGCCCCAGCTGCCCAGCACCCTCTGCCCACCCCTGCCTGGGTTTGGGGTTGGGTTTTGTGGGCGAGGCTCAGGCTGACAGTGGAGGTTGGGAAGGGCAGTGTGGTGGGTAGTCCTGGAAGGCCTGGGCAGAAGGGATGCCGGGAGACGCTGGGGCCATCCAGGTCTCCAGAGGGAGACCAGGGCTGGAGCCCAGCTTCATTGGGAGGCCCCGTGCTGAGGACGGGGGCCTGGGGGAAGAGGTGGATTTGTGGGGACAGCAGCAGACACGAAAAGGCCTCCGAGACCAAGAGTGGGGATGCCGGGTCCCAGCAAGTGAGGCAGGACTGCCATGAGGTCTGCAGAGGGACCCACAGGAGCTGAACCCACCCCTCACAGCTGAACGTCCTTTGACGTGTGGGCCGAACGACTTCTTTGGGCCCTGTTGGGGTGTGGCCCACAGCAGGTGAGCAGTCAGGACCCCTTGGGGACCCTAAACAGCTCCTGTGTGGGCCCCGTGCTGGAGACAAGCTACAGCCTGGGTGCATGGGGTCAGAGTGGGTGGTCAGTACGACACCTGCTGACTGGAGCAACCACGTGCCTGCCTGAGTGTGGGGCCTGGGAAGGCTCATGGGGGTGTTGAAGCCACATCACCTGGGGACCTCGGCAGCTTAGGCAGAATGTCTACCGGGATATATGTGGGCATGTGTGTGAGAGTGTGTGCAGAGGCATGCATGTATTTGTGCATTCCTGTGGGTGAATGTGCACCTGTACATGTGTGAATATGCATGCCAGTATATGTGCGTTGGTGTGTGTTCAGCTGTGTATATTCAGCTGTGTATTTGTGTGTGTTTGCAACAGTGTGTGTGCATGTCTGTCTCTGTATGTGTTCATGCGTGTTCACACCTGCATGTGTGCGCCTGCCTGTGTGTACATGTGTTTGGTTTGCCTGTGTGTGTGCACATGCCTGTGTCTGTGCATGTGTGCACACCCGTGTGTACTTCTATGTGCTCATGCCTGTGTGTGCATGTTTGCACCTGTGTGTGTGCACCTGCCTGTGTATACGCATGTGTTTGGACCTGTGTGCCCATGTGTTTGTGTGTGTGTGTGTGTGCACATGCCTGTCTGTTTATATGCATGTTTAGACCTGTGTGCCCATGTGTTTGTGTGTGTGTGTGTGTGCACGTGCCTATCTGTGTATATGCACGTTTGGACCTGTGTGCCCATGTGTTTGTGTGTGTGTGTGCACGTGCCTATCTGTGTATATGCACGTTTGGACCTGTGTGCCCATGTGTTTGTGTGTGTGTGCGTGCACGTGCCTATCTGTGTATATGCACGTTTGGACCTGTGTGCCCATGTGTTTGTGTGTGTGTGTGCACGTGCCTATCTGTGTATATGCACGTTTGGACCTGTGTGCCCATGTGTTTGTGTGTGTGTGCATGTGCCTATCTGTGTATATGCACGTTTGGACCTGTGTGCCCATGTGTTTGTGTGTGTGTGTGCACGTGCCTGTCTGTGTATATGCATGTGTTTGGACCTGCGTGCCCATGTCTTTTTGTGTGTGTGTGTGCACCTGCCTGTCTGTGTATATGCATGTGTTTGGACCTGCGTGCCCATGTCTTTTTGTGTGTGTGTGTGTGCACCTGCCTGTCTGTGTATATGCATGTGTTTGGACCTGCGTGCCCATGTGTTTGTGTGTGTGTGTGTGTGCACGTGCCTGTCTGTGTATATGCATGTGTTTGGACCTGCGTGCCCATGTCTTTTTGTGTGTGTGTGTGCACGTGCCTGTCTGTGTATATGCATGTGTTTGGACCTGCGTGCCCATGTCTTTTTTTGTGTGTGTGTGTGCACGTGCCTGTCTGTGTATATGCATGTGTTTGGACCTGCGTGCCCATGTGTTTGTCTGTGTGTGTGTGCACGTGCCTGTCTGTGTATATGCATGTGTTTGGACCTGTGTGCCCATGTGTTTGTGGGTGTGTGTGTGTGCACGTGCCTGTCTGTGTATATGCACGTTTGGACCTGTGTGCTCATGTGTTTGTGTGTGTGTGTGTGTGCACATGCCTGTCTGTGTATATGCACGTTTGGACCTGTGTGCCCATGTGTTTGTGTGTGTGTGTGTGCACGTGCCTATCTGTGTATATGCATGTTTGGACCTGCGTGCCCATGTGTTCGTGTGTTTGTGTGCACGTGCCTGTCTGTGTATATGCATGTGTTTGGACCTGCGTGCCCATGTCTTTTTTTGTGTGTGTGTGTGCACGTGCCTGTCTGTGTATATGCATGTGTTTGGACCTGCGTGCCCATGTCTTTTTGTGTGTGTGTGTGCACGTGCCTCTGTGTGTTTG